ATAGTGCCTGTCACGAAAATGGTGAATCCATTGCAAATTGATACGCCCGCATACGAAGTCTGTCAATAAATTGTAATTATGGAGCAAATTTATCGGATGTTTTGAAAGATAAATTTGTGTCTGGCATGCACAAAGGTCCCATATACGATCGGTTGTGCGGAGAAGAAATGGGAACAAGCCTGGAAAATTTAAAGAAAATTGCTCTTCAACGCGAAGAAACAAAAAGCGAGTCCAGCTGCGCAAGCGCAGATTTCAATTTTGTCAGGCAACACAACAAATCAGCTGTAGCAATGACATCGCGCAACGGTGCCATGGGACGCGAACCAACATGGTACCAACATGAAGGTCAATCACGACGTCATACTTCGTCATCGACAGCTGCAAAATGTCGATGCTGTGGATTGAATCATCGGTATCCCTGCTAGTTGAAAAATTATTCTTGAGGCACTAATCCAGAGTTTGCACCAAGGAAAGGGTACATTTCATCCATGCAGAAGAAGTAAACAATGATTTTGATAGCGTCAAAAATGGATTGGTACATGAAAACAGGGTAAACAATGGCATCAAATCTCGAGGATTGGCCTATTGATAATGAAAAAGTTGGTCAACACACAAAGAATGATCAAGAACTTCAGGAAATAATGAAATACCTAAAAGAAAATAGATGGCCAAGTAAAATTCCAATATGGCTTAAGCCATACCATTCTAGAAGGGAGGGTCTTACTATGGAAAATGATGTGTTAATTTGGGAAACCAGAATGGTCATTTCAAAAAGCTCAAGGGCAGATATTTTGAAAATGTTGCACCAAGAACATTTTGGTATCTACAAAATGAAAGCAACAGCCCGTAGTTTCATTTTTTGGCCTAATATGGAAACCGACATCAAACAAATAACATCATCATGCATGCCATGTCTAATGAACAGGCAAAGTCCACTTAAAGCTGAGATAACTCCATGGCCGGAAGCATCAGATCAGAGCCTTGGAGTAAAAGTTTTATAGATTTTTGTGAGTCAATTATAGTAGATTCTTGCTCTAGGTGGATCGAGGCCCTATCAATGAGGACCATAACTCGATGGACCATAACAACAGAAGAAACGATAGAAAACCTGAGAGAGGTTTTTGCACGATTTGGGCTACCAAAAACACTAATCAGCGATAATGGCAGACAGTTAGTCTAAGCAGAGATGGTGAGGTTTTTGAAGCTCAATGGAATTACCCACATAACAAGCCCACCATTTCACCAGATGTCCAACGGTAGAGCAGAAAATGCTGTTAAGACTTTCAAGCAAAAGCTCAAAACTGCTTTGACGGACACAAACAATCAGGGAATTAGTGTAGGAAGTTTGGTAGTTAGAATACTATTTCAATATAGAACTTCTGAACATTGCACCACCAAGGAAATACCAGCTAGCTTAATGCTGAACAGACCAGTGAGAACAAGATTTACCATGCTCAGCGAAAAATTGCAAGATAATAATAAAACATCAACAAATAGGGATGATGAAGAAAACCAAGTCAGACAACAAAAAGAAAACCAAATAAAAAAGCCCAAGAGTTCGAGAAGAGCAAAAGAGTTTGAGGTAAGTAACAAAGTCATGATCAGGAATTATAGGGTTGTAAATAAAAAGACATGGAGGCCCGCCGAAATCATACAGCGAATTGGTAAGTCAACTTATCTTTGTAAGATTTCAGAAGGTAACATCTGGAAAGGACATGTTAATCAAATATCACGTGATGATCCTGTCCAGCCATGTCCTGCTTTTCGTCCTGATTTTGAAAGAGAGGGTGAGTCTGGTAAAATTAATCAAACATTTTCAGATAATTCGTTTTAAAATGATATTAAATAGACACCCCTAAGAACCTCAGAATCACTCAAACAGCCAAACACGAAGTCTCGACAGTTCTGTAATTGTTGAAAATGTGGAAGATATGCTAAATAGTGAAAATGACGAAAATGTAAATTTGGAAAATTCGTTATTTTTTGATGCGAAGTTCGAAAAATTTGCTAATAAATGTGGAGACCAAAATCAAGCTATTTTTAGCGTAAATGAAAATTCTGCAAACTCTGTTGATAAAAGAAATATAATAGGAACTAAAATTGTAGAATCCAGGAATGTGACGAAGGCTGTGAAATAAGACTTTAGCGGTTTTAAGAAATGTATAGTGACACTGGAAAGATAGACGAGAAACCAAGTTGCCAGAAAGATACAAAATTTAATACTGGTAACATTTCTATTGTTTTGGATTTTCGGAATTGATTTTAAAGATTATAAAAAAAAATTGTAATTTTTTCATTATTGTACACTAATGTTTGTAAATTGTAATTTAAAATTATTTATTATGCAATGTGGAACCGAGAAGGTCAGCTAAGAAGGGAGATGTTGTGGTGTAAGTACACCGAGATCAGTATCACATGACCTACTCTGTGTTCTAGAGTAAACAAGCCTTCAGCTAATGAGTGGGAACATTGTACCTATATCTGTTCCACATGCCTCTCCACGTCGAATAGACGAGGGCAAAATTTTGTCTTTTGTCAATGCAACGTAAATGTCCGCGTCTAGAATTGTTCCTCTTGACTTCGATAATATTTATGCAATCGTGAATAGAAACTCCAATTAGTATCAAAGTAAAGTGTTTTATTTCGTCCTCCACGCTATCATATCAGGCCCTATCACCGACATAACACAACTTTTTCGCAAGAACTTTTACATTATTTTCTATAATAACAGACACTAAATTGTGATCAGATAAGCTGTTACCTTAATGTTACAGTTTAGGTTATGATATTTGTCAGATAATACATGACCTATGATACTCTTTGTATTTTCAGTAACTCTAGTAGCAGATTCTTCAGATATAGTGTTAGGTATCTTAGAGTTGTTTAGTGTAATTAAATTTTTATAATTTGTGGTGTCGCTATTTGGTTGAAGAAGATTAATATTGAAATCACCAAGTACTAGGTGTTTTTTAGGAAACTTGAGAAGTATCTCTTCCAGTGCCATATGAAACTCTGCACTTGAAAAAGAGGGAAGTCTGTAGGCTACACTTATTTCTAACTTTTGATCTCCTAACTCTATACATACCCAATTTAATTTACTAGCCGATTCTGACTTTCCTATTTTACAAAATTTAATAGAGTCTTTTATATAAATTGAGGATCCTCCTCCTCTACCATCACGACAAGAGTGCACCGCACTAAAATTACTTAAATCATACAAAAAGGTTTCTTTCTTCTTCAACCATGTTCCAGTTAACAATAGAATATCACAGCATCCATTAATCACAGAACATTGCACATTTTCTATTTTATTTTGAAGGCTACGAATGTTCATGTAAACAAGCTTTAGTTTTTTACGAGGCTGGTCTAGTTTTGTAGTTGTTCTATTGTTTCAACTAGGGTCACCCTTGATTGATTATCCTTCCTTAAGAAAATGCTTCCATTCAAGAGCCAGCAGTATTTGTTTTTTTTTTTTTTTTTTGTTAAATTTTTGTACACTTTTGCAGCTTTCAGGAGTTCAAAGTTGAATTTTGTGAGGTCATGATTTAAAAACACCTTATTGTTTGCAGAAAGTCCTAAGTTGTTACTTTTTAAAACTGCTTTTTTTCCTTAGTTTTCAGCCATTTCTGTTTAATGTTATCGTTCTGAAATCTGAAATACTATTTTGATAGCCTGATATTAGTCTAAGATCCGGCTTCACAATAACACCCCTCATCCTTTTTCTTGATAAAATATATTTTTTTTTGCGGTAAAATGTATAGATAAATAAATTCCGGAGTGGTTGGCAGTCCATATCCTGGCAAGGCTATTTTTAATTAAATATTATTTGATTGATTTTTTTGTCCCATTTTCGGTCATTCTTTTCCTAAATAAATTTGGTATAAATTGAAGGTAAACAACATGTGGAAAACGCCACAGCATGGTGGGCTACCTTTTTCCTGGCAAGAATACCTGCCAACCAGGTGTAAACAGGTGAGTTCAAGGAATAATTTACCCTCATTCGTTTTCCTAAAAAATCAAATATGGAAATGTAGATTTTTTTATTGCGAATCCAATGGTATATGGTTGTCTTTCCAAATCGTGGCAAGGCTAATGGTTGCCACGATTTAAAGTTTCAATAGACAATATTTTCGTTTTGAAATTAAGGCATGACTGCGAGCGCTATAGGTATATATTATTATGTTGGAAGAGATGGATGCAGGAATCAGGATAGCAGCTGCTCATGAAATGCCGGAAAAAAGAAATAATTGTTATAAAAATATTTTTTATTGTTGAATGCATAAAATTATTCACTATCTGATTCATCAGAACTTGCAATATTGCAATCCAAGAAGTACATATAATTTTTGATCGCTATTTAACGCCATCAATAAAAAATTCAGAGCGACAAAATAGACAAGAGTTTGATGTTCCATACACAATTACAGGACCTCAACAAGCAAGCCTTCCGATGTTCTTGGAAGTCTTAAAAATTACCGCTTCAAAGAGGCTTTGGTAAAGTTCCTGGCAAATTATTGGGAAAGTGATCATTTAGCACCTATAATACGAACAAAAAATTTTCTTATAACTTTTGAGACTCAATGCTACTCCTATCAATCGATAGAAAAACATGTAAGAACTCAAGAAATCGACTATGAATGTTACCATGAATAAGAAGCGGATACGCGAATTATGCTTCATATCAGCAAAGTTCCACCAACTTCAAAAATTTTAGTGAAAGCTTCTGATACTGATATATTAATAATTTTGCTGGGAAACATGCATAAAGTTCCAGAATCAGAAATTTGGTTAGCGAGCTCAGGAGGAAAAACAAAAAATGATAAAGATTTTAACTGCATAAACTGCACTAAATTAGCGTCGAAGTTAGGGTCCTCTCTATGTCTTAGTCTACCATACCAGCGTTCCACGCTTTCACAGGCTCTGACTACACTGCAGTTTTCTACAACAAAGGCAAAATCAGGCCCTATAAAATACTTTCGAAAAATGAATCTTATCAAAAAATGTTTGCGTCATTGAAAGATAGTGCCGACATTTTCATCGACGAAAAAATCGAATTGATTCAAAAGTTTACTGTTCTTATGTACGGAATAAAAAACTGTAAAAGCGTTAACGATGCGAGGTATCGAATTTTCCAGAGAAATTATTCTACTAATAAGAATAATGAACAATTTTCAAAAAAAATTTAAAACTTCAATTCCAACACAATTCCACCTTGCTGGAAATCATTAGAACAAAAAATTTTACGCACTATACCGGGTGTCTACGAGATCAGTTTCGCACTGGCATTTCCTGGTTTTTTTCTCGATGGCAAAGATTTTTGGTATGGAGTGTAGGTTTGAGAAATGTCATCTTTTGACATGTGTGTCAATGTTTGGTAACTTCCGGTTTGACCGGAAATGGTCCTAACTCCGTAATTTGGAATGGCATCCCAATAATTTTTTCACATTTTTGGTATCTGCGGATCATGATGTGTACGAAAACGTCTTTGAACATTTTTGAAGAAATTTAAGAACTCTGGATGAAAATTTATTTTTGAACAGAGTGTGACGGACCGGTCCTAAAATTGTTATTTTCAACCCACAAATCGTAGAAAAATGCGAGTGCCAAGATGTTATCCTTTGCTTGCTCTCCAAAGGCATCCAAAGTTGAAAAAATCACATTTTGCGTGATAACTCAATAAAATCAGTGAAATCACCCAACTTTCACAACAAGAGTTATTCACCTTTTTCAAAATAAAACTAACTATGCATTGAAACTTTTCATTTATGTTAGTTTTTAATTATTTTCTTATTATTTTTATAATGCACTACTATAAATGTTAAAACTACTTATAAATGAACCCCTGTATGAAGAACGCTTTTCAAAAGGAGCTGGTGTTTTTTTTGCTTGACAAGCCATTGACAAGATCTGTGGGCAAGAGGTAATAGACTGTGAGATAGGGGCTGTTTAGTGGAGTCATTTTTTTTTTGTCTGGCACTTTGAGGGCTGAATGTGGCTACTAAGCTAATGAGAATATGGGTGATTTTAATGCCTGCCTCCCGTTCGAAAATTTGCAGAAGAAAAAAATTGATTTACATGAGGAATTTTTTTTTAATGATCTCAAATTTTTTGGCTTCTAAATAAAAGATTGATATTGATAAATAATTCACCCATAAAAAATACCAGATGCTTTTCAATAGCTGAAAAAGTGGGGATGAGTGTCAACTTCCAAAAGAAAAGAAAAGAACCTTCCGCGTTTACTTTTTGTCTGGTAATCGAGAGAATGGAAGGTTTTGTTGTAAAAATATCGCTGAAAAATCGCCAGACGGTTATCCCAGTTCAAAGTCGAGTTTTCTGGCGGAACATTCTGTGGACATTTCGAATAGGTGGCAGGCACTAAAACCACCTATATTCTCATCAGCTAACTAGCCACATTCATCCCTCAAAATGCCAGACAAAAAAAAAATGACTCCACTAAGCAGGCCCTATCTCACGGTCTATAAGATATGTTTATTTGTCATTGTTTGACATCTCGGGAATTTGTAAATACAAAGTTTGAATACAGGGGTTTATTTATAGGTAGTTTTATCAGTTATAGTAATGCATAGTAAAAATATTGGAAAAATAATTAAAAACTGGCATGAATAAAAAGTTTTAATGCATAGTTGGTTTTATTTTGAAAAAGGTTAAAAACATTTGTTATGAAAGTCGGGTGATTTCACTGATTTCATTGAGTTATCACGTAAAATGTGATTTTTTCAGCTTTGGAAGCCTTTGGAGAACAAGCATAGGATAATAACTTGGTATTCGCATTTTTCCACGATTGTGTTGGTTGAAAATAACAATTTTAAGACCGCTCAGTCACTTCCTGTTGAAAAATAAATTTTCATCCAGATTTCTGAAATTTCTTCAAAAATGTTCAAATTTGACGTTTTCGCACATCATGATCCGCAGATACCAAAAATGTGAAAAAATTATTGGGATGCCATTCCAAATTACGGAGTTAGGACCATTTCCGGTCAAACCGGAAGTTACCAAACATTGACACACATGTCAAAAGATGACATTACTCAAACCTACACTCCATAGCAAAAATCTTTGCCATCGAAAAAAAACTCACCAAATGCCAGCGCGAAACTGATCTCGTAGACACCCGGTATATGTAAATTCAATGTGGCTCAATGCTACCGATCCTTGCTGTGCTAAACTACAACCTGAAGCTTGCGGCTGGTACATGGATGATTGCTTTTTAAAGCCAACTGAATTCCTCGGGGATCCAACGCCCTTACAAGTTGACGACATTTTGCAGGCTACAAATGAGGAGAATGATAACGACACTTCAGAATTGGATTGCAATATTTCAAGTTCTGATGAATCAGATAGTGAATAATTTTATGCATTAATCAGTGATTAATTCAACAATAAAAAATATTTTTTCTAAGAGAGTGCGGAAAAGTGCACTTTTCCGCACGCATTTTAGTTTGGAAAGTTTCACAGTAGCAGATGTAACTTTTTAAATTCTGAGCTGACACACTTACACAAATATCAGCATTGAGAATTATTGAAACAATAATGTTATTTATTAAATTATTTTGGTTTAAACTTAACTTTTCTTGTGAAGTTACTATACTTTATGCCTGAAAATTTCGAAAATTTCATAGTATGTACTAGATACATCAAACGTACAAATTATTGTTAAAACTTCTCGATTTTATTGTCTTCAGAATAAGGCACATCATTTCAGAATTAGTTTTTTTTTTAATCAATAAATAAATAAGATTTATTTCTAAGAGTACCTCATTTATATTAAGAAAAAATTACTCGATTTGTTTTTAATACCAGGTCTTGCAGAAGAAATATTATTAGATATTGGTGTTAAAATTTACATTACAGGTATATTCCTTCTATCTCGTAGAAAAAATAGTGTTCCTAACTCGTGCGGAAAAGTGGCACATTCCGCACTTGTTAGAAAATATACTATTTATAAGAATTATTTCTTTTTTCCGGCGTTTCATGAGCAGCTGCTATCCTGATTCCTGCATCCATCTCTTCCGACATAATAATATATACCGATAGCACTCGCAGTAACGCCTTACTTTCAAAACGAAAATATTGTCTATTGAAACTTTAAATCGTGGCAACCACTAGCCTTAACACGATTTGGAAAGACAACCATATACCATTGGATTCGCAATAAAAAAATCTACATTTCCATATTTGATTTTTTAGGAAAAAGAATGAGGGTAAATTATTCCTTGAACTCACCTGTTTACACCTGGTTGGCAGGTATTCTTGCCAGGAAAAAGGTAGCCAACCATGCTGTGGCGTTTTCCACATGTTGTTTGCCTTCAATTTATACCAAATTTATTTAGGAAAAGAATGACCGAAAATGGGACAAAAAAATCAATCAAATAATATTTAATTAAAAATAGCCTTGCCAGGATATGGACTGCCAACCACCCCGGAATTTATTTATCTATTCATTTTACTGCAAAAAAAATATATTTTATCAAGAAAAAGGATGAGGGGTGTTATAGTAAAGCCGGATCTTCTACTATAGTGCATCCCCCTTTCCCCTGATGCACCAAAGTTGCGGGGGATGCAAGAAGCCCTTTTAGGTAATGTTATTATTAAAGAATAATGATAATATCTGAATTGTTTTTGGGTGACTCCGAGGAGCTCCAGAAAGACACTTTTGGTGTAACTCGATGTATAAAAGGAATACAGTAATTGTCTTTACCCAATCTGTAGACGGTGAAAGTTTGTTCCGGTTCTTTTGGTATCTCTAGCTTTTCACCAAAAGTATAAACTACGTCCTCTAGCTTCTCATTCCTTTTGTATGATATTCCTTGAATAATTTTTTATTCATTCATTATTTTTAGGGTCTGTTTGTTCTCTTTTATTAAGTTTTTTCTTTATCTCAGTCAATTCACCTTCCAGTTTTTGATTTATTATCAGCTGTTCTTCAAATTTTTCAAGGAGGACAATGTATTTTTGGTCCATGTCATTGAGCTTCTGCATAACATCATCTAGAGTGTAATTTGAAGTGCTCTGCGATGCTTTTTTTGATTTACAGCCATCACAAAACCATTCATCATCCGACTTACTCAAGCGATCATGTTCTTTGTGACATTGACATGCACTCCCTGTGTCTTCAAATACAGCACTTGTCACATAATAGCCCTTCATGGTTTCTAAGGACTTTTTTCTTGTACTTATCACATGTGTCTATTTCCACCGGCATTCTGGCAACTTCACAAGTATTGCCTAGTTTGATAACCACACTTCACCATGTGCACTGCGACTAGTTTTGGGTGATTTTAAGTTGTTTTTTTATTCCACTTCTTGTCTATTAGCTATGTAACAATACGGCGTATTTATTTTAAATAAACAAAGCAATAATCGCGCAAAATTCAATAATTTTGAGAGCAAAGCCAAAACACGACTATTATGCACTATTGCCAGATATACTCACATCAATTTAAAAGCTAACCACGAACGAATTAGTACACGGAGTTTTACTCCATATGATACAATTTACCACTTATTAAAAGTATATCTTCGATTTCTTATTGTTGTGCTTTTTAATTCCAGTTGCATCTTCCTCATTATTATTTAGTCTAAATATTTCCTGTACATCACCATCGTTTATAGCTACTTGTAGCGTTCCAAAAATCTTCTTTATTGTTCCACTCAGTTCTTCGTTTTGCTCTGGTATCCCAGGCATAACAATATTTCTCTCTTTTTCCCGCTGCTCAATTTGGTTTAATTTTTCCTCATGGATGAAAACTGATCTTGCAGATACTGCAGTCCGACAAATAAACTAGGTATGTACTTTTTTTCTACAAAATTTGCAGATTTTTAATGTACCTTCTTTTGGAATCAGCTGCACTTTGTTCTGATGTTATGACATAACCCTACCTGTCATGGTAAACGAATTGTCGTTTTGAAGTGCTTTTCAAAATTGCTGTTCTGTCTGTCATAAGGATTATTTGTCTGTCAATAATTATACTGGCGCAATCACAAAAATGTAAGAATTTTTTTTGTATGTTCCACACATTTAAAAACTTAATAACTAGAAAAAAAATGTCTTCTTACCCAAAGCAACTATTTCCCAAAGTACACAAGCAAATGACCAAATATCAGACTTAAGAGTGTGGGGATTATTGTTAAATATTTCTAATGCAGTCCATCTAGTATAATCAGGTATTTTATTATGGCTAAAATATTGTGCTAATCCATAGCTTCCTATTTTTGGTATAAAATCATTTGATATGTGAACGCTTCTGGCACAAAGCTGCTTATGAATTATCTAAAAATAAATCAAATTATTAGTAGAGCTTGATAGTTTTTATTGTTTAATTTATTTTTTGCATTTAAATGCAAAGCTTCAACAAGAATAATGTATTTGACATGACAAATGGTCACACAATCATTTACTCTTGCACTAGAAGTGGATGTAAAAAAGTAAAATTTTATTGGGGAAAATCAAATGACCGATTTTATCTATCTTCCTAAAGTGCACAATTAGTAAAAAAATTAAAATTTTAATTTTTTACCACCCTTTGAGTGTGAAGCGCCCCTAAGTAATGTCATCTTTGATCCACCACTTTGATTGAGAATGTTAGTACGGGAGCTGGCGACACTAAATTTTGTAAGATTTCATAAATCGATTCCTGCAGGGGTACCAGCGGGACATTGATTGTCTGCGATATGTTAATCACGTCAAAAAAAAAGTTCAATTGTTGAAAATCATAAAAGTTGAAACTTTATCAATTTTTTAATAACATTTGAATAAAACATAAAACGACCTCCTGCCACTTTTTTGGTAGACCTATACACTCCTGCCATACTTTTATTTATGTAAAAAAAATTATCAATTGATATAAATTATAAAAGTTGATTTTTTTTTTTAGCATTTCACTAATAATTACGAAAACTAAAAAATATATCCTGCCAGTCATTTGATGGGACCTGGCTTCGGCAGGAGCAAAGTTGTTGCGCGGAAACACCCTCTATATTCACTATTTCTAGGCTTCCAAATTCCAAATCCAAAGGTTCTCGATGCTTCTAACCTGAATGCTTTGTTTATTTTTTGCCAGGTTATAATTAAAATTTACTAATTTTTTGTTGTAGTCCTTTTCCGTTGGTTTTCTGTGATTGTTCTATCATATATCAGAAAATACAAAAACAAACGTCCCAACTTCGCCACGATTGTGTTTTGTGACGATTACGCCGAAAAGTTCAACATAACCCAACTTTTTGCCAGGCGGCAGCCTATCAAAAATTCAAGATGGCTACACTGCCGCCAACAATGAACTATAGCCAAAAACTGGAATGCGCACACATTGCCATATCTGCCAAAAAAATGAAGCCATGAAAGACAGATGCCACAAAGGGGAATGTTGTTTTTTTCTGTTGCTCGCTGACATATGTCGTTTTGGAAAGTTTTGTCATATTTACCTTCACAGGTTTCATCAATTGGAATACGTGTTGGAAGCAATTTCCGCCATTTAACATAATGAGTGCGAAAAAAACAGGTATCTCCTCCGCAGCAGCGGCACTAGGCTTCACGTTCGTCAATATGTGTTAGCATTCCAGTTTTTGGTTATAGTTCATTGGCCGCCAATGAAATCGCACAAATTAAATCACGTGATTAGTTACGCTTACGTCAATTACGCCCTGATAGCAAACAGACGAAACTATACGATTACGTCGCAATTACAATTTTCCATGATGCCTACCTGCAAGCCAGTTTGTGTTTTTTGCAATTCAAAAAAAGAAAAAAATATTTTCTTTACACAAGAACGTTTGATTAAATGCACGGAAATTTTAAAAATACGTCACCAAAATAATTTGCAAGGAAAAGATGTGAAATTACCATCGGCTTTATCTGACGTGGAAGGCTATCATTCCAAGTGTTTGAGTAATTTCACGGCATTAAAAGCAAAATATAAAAAATCGGGTAATGATTCCGTTTCTACGAGCAGTGTGAAATCTTTATCAGAGCCTTCAACATCTGGTGTTACAGAGTAAGTACCTATACATATTATACAAATTTTTTCGATCATATACTGTGCGAGTTTTGATAACGCAGTTTCTTTTCATGGTTTTTTCTTCGCTTTTCTGCTTTTTTGGATAAAAATCTCAAGTAACAGAGATATTTAAATAGGTACATCAATACTGAAATATATTTTTTCTGCGATTGACAAGAAATGTCAGCATTTTTGACCGCTTGACAGGTCGCAAAACTTAATATTCTGGTATTTTAATTATGTTTCAATAGTTGCTAAGGAATCAATGAATAACAATACAGGAAACACTTTTCCGGTCTAGGCCGGGAAAGTGATTCTCATACTGCTGAATAATTGGAACCAAAAGACAAACATTAAACAAGTATTTAACCGATCGCAGAAAAAATAGTATGTGTATTTCGGTGGAAAAGCACATTCTAGGCCTTCGGTGTTTGTCGTCAACTTACACCGTCGGCCGAGAATGTGTCACTTTTCCACCTAAATACACAATGTACTATATCTTTTTATTAATGTACGTATTAAATTTCAGTGAGATTATGGAAGGAATTGAAGTTCCAGAAAATGCAGTAATCGAATCCGAATCATCAGTATGTGACGAACCGTTTGCAGTATCAGAAGATTCTTGTGACGACCCAGGAACTGAAAAAGATACCGAGTGTTCAAAAGTATGTATTTTTTGCAATTCAAACCGCAAAAGGCATACAGGTCGATGGCAAAATTTACATAGTTTCTGTGCACAAGATACCGGTGAAAATATAAAGTCTCGGGCGACAGAAATGAATGACATGGGTTTATTAACAAAAATTGAAAACTTATCATCACAAGGATGTCCAATTTTATACCATCGCATATGTCTCGTACAGTTCCAAAATAAATTCCAGTCGTATATTGCTTCAGAAAAGGAAAAAACTGATTGGCACATGAAACGTGATACAGTAAGTGCTGCATTCGATAAGATTTGTTCATTCGTCTACGAAAATATCATTCGGAATAAGCACAGTTATTATTTAGATTTTTTGCGAACGTTGTACGCTGAATATCTCAGTGAGGAAGTCAGAGATAGTAAAATTTCGCCCAATACTTTCTCTACCCGCTATTTAGAAGAGAGATTGCTGAAAACATACCCTAAAGGCATATCGGTTATACAAAACAACAGAAGAAAAATAGTTAAACCATATACAGGCGTTGTGTTGAAAGATTCAGATTTTTCCCTTATGCAAGACGAAGAAATTGTACAAAAAGCAGCAGTTATCCTACGTAGATCCATCCGAGAGTTGGAAAAAAAATCGATACCAGAAAAAATATCGGTCTCTGATTTGATAAACGGAGAATGTAAAGTTCCTACTATTTTGTCAGAGTTCTACAACATTATGCTTAGCGGCGGTGAATATCGTCGAAAAAAAAGTCCTCAATGCCAAAGACTGTCGAAATCGTTTTCGGAAGATGTTATTCATGCCGTTTGGAATGGAAAAATGATGCCTTCAAAACACATCGTATTAGGTCTGACCCTTAAAGGCTTAACTAACAGTGAAAAAATAATTACCATTTTGAATAGATACGGCCATTGCTCCAGTTACACTACGTTGCAGGAATTAGAAACTGACGCCACTTTCTCATCCAGTAATCAATTAGATATTTGTCCCGAAGATATAATAAGAGCACCAAATTTATGTACAGGATTAGCATTCGATAACTTCCATAGATTTGTTGACACTGCTTCTGGCAAGGATACTCTTCATGATACTGTTGGGATCATTTTTCAAAATATTGTTGATAATATCGAGTCTGCCACTGAAACTGAGTCAGAGATGAATGAAAGTGTCGAAAGCTCGAGTCGTACAAAGAGACGTCGTACATTTGTAGCTCTTTTTATCTTTTGGTACACAGCGAACGGCTGCTTTTCATCTGGAGAGCAGATGGGTCGGAGTTCAAAATCAAAGTTTAATTTTTAATGAAGTTTTTAATTATTTACTCAAATATTTAAAATTCAATATACACCTAAGTATATATTACTAAAAGGGCGCCACGCAATTTTTATTTGATTTGGTTTAAATTGCGAAACCAAACTTAGAGAACATCTGCAAAATTATTAATTGGTGAGAGTGGAACAATAATAATTAAAACAACACTTCAATCTTCGATTGAATAAAATTCTATTTGTCAATAATTATCGATGGTTATTCAAGTCACATTGTAATCACAAAATATATATAGCCAATTTAAAATAGGAGTACCTATGAAATAAATATGTTAAATAACCAGTACCTACCTATTTAATGGTAGATACTTAAAGTATCAGTGTAATTAATAAGTTTCTTTTCAAGAAAGAAAAAATATATGTAAGTTAATGAATCTTAAAATTTATGGAACTTGTTTAACCTGGATATTAGGTTGTCTAATTGACACATTTACTTATCTCATACCTAGAACCTAGAACCCCATAGTCGACTATAGTTCACAATATTGCTCAATAGTATTTTCTTTTGAATTATGGTTAGTGTAGTGATTTTGTGATTCACGTTAACGTTGAGGGCACAAAGCCCCTTTAAATAGGGATGAAAATCACCCTGATTGACAGAATCTTAAACAATAATTTTGTATAACCCTTATGGGTAAAAAAAAAAGGAAGAATATGTGAATTATAATAAGGTTATTTAAAGAGAGAAAATAAATAATTAAATAGTAATAAAAATAATACTCTGAATGTTCTGAAAAATCTGAATATGATAGCAATTAATTTGCTAATGAAGTGATTCTAATAATAATGATAAAATATTCTGGATATGACAGCAATTAGTTGGCTACTAAAGTGGTTTTAATAATAATAATAAAATATTCTGGATATGACAGCAATTAGTTGGCTACTAAAGTGGTTTTAATAATAATAATAAAATATTCTGGCCTGTTTATCCTTGAAGCGGTCACAATCTCAATTCTACGACGAATAATTCAACCAATAGAGTACGTCGTGTCTCGTGTCTCGCGACTCTTAAAGTCAGCGAGTCTTGAAGTACTGAATTTCTTAGGGCAGTAATTACAGGGCGATGATGGTATGGGGTGCAAACTACCAAACATACAGGTATATGGTATAATCAACCAATAACCAACGGTCCAATTCTTGGAGTCGACTCCCACGCGGATCCTACAGGGTAAAAAACACACATGTCACAAATGGGGCGGAAAAGTGGGATAAAAGAGTTGTGGAAATATATTCCAGATAAAAAAATTAATGCTTGAGCAGCTTACCTTGATTGGATTCCACAAAACACAACACAAAAGGCGATTCAGGCACGCCAAAGATTCTGGATTAATAACCCAGGAAGTTAAACAGAAAACCTTCTTTTCTTTGGCTCTAGTACTCGATGGCCTCTTGATCCATTGATAGAAAACTTCAACAAAACTCTTCAAAAGGTATTTGGGCAGATGATACCCGATTTCTTTTTGGACCAAGAAAAAGGCGTGTTGAGTCACAAAGAAGCAGTACCAGAATGGCGGTCCCCAGAACCCGTAAAATTGATTCCACCAGATTCGATGACAGCGGAAATCCAAGAAAGAAGAAAGCGCGGTTAATTTGAATGTGTACGAAAATTCAAGGAATTGTGCAAAATAAATTTGGCAACGTTGCAAAATTCAAATTAGGAACTGACCATAGCCCGCGGCAGATACTGGTTGACATTTAACAGCTGGGAATTTCAGCAGCAAAATGTGATATAACAACAATGGACAAAAGGACTTCTAAACCCAAAGTCCCAGTCTCTAGGAGCCAATCAGTGGTTGTTATGCAAGATTAACCCTTGTGAATTCATCCCCTTGCTAGCTAAGCTAACATACCAGGTAAGTATTGTTTATTTGCTACCATTACGTGAAAGTTAAAATAATTAATAATTCCCATTTGTTTTAGGCTAAAGCAAGTTAACGCCCTCAACCCCCTAACCGTGGGCTAGTGGAGAAGATGCGTTGTTTGTCCTTTAATCGAGATAAACAGCTGATGGTGACCAAAACAGGATTATGTGTTCTAAAGTAATGAAAGCGAAAGTGGAATTTGAATAGATTAAATTTGTAAATAGAAAAAAGATGATGCATTATTTTGTAGGATTGAAATTAAATAAAAATATTCAACTGATGGGAAATCCCATCCTTAATTATTGTTTCAAGTAAAAATATTATATAACTAGATAGGTAAATATCCTCTTTGATATAAACCTTTCACAAAAAAAAATGAAGGGTAGCATTTAAAGAAAACTCAAATGCTACACATTTGACACTATTATTCACGAAATGGAAGCATATACAAAAAAAAACAAAAATCACAGAAACTCTGATGCCACTTCATATTGTCACGCAATGTTCACTCCCAATAAATTTCAAAATTGCTCAGCAAATCGACACAGTATGGATGCTTTCTCATCAGGGCCGTAGCTAGAGTCAAATTTAAGATAGGGCATGACAAATTCGACATAGGGCATACACTACTTGCCCCCCCCCCCCACCCCCCTAAATTTTTTATAGGTAAACAAAATTTTTCAATAAATCAAGGTTCAGGTTGTATGGTAATGGGTAACTTGATGACGCATCAAGGTATGCATAATGTATGGTAAAGTATGGTAATGGGTAACTTGATAACGCATCCGATCTGGGACACCTTAAAGAGATTTGCATTATGTTGAGGCACCTCATATGACGTCATAAAGTTACCAGGGCTGGAACTCTGTACGCATAGAGATCATTATCCCTATCGCTATGGCACGTGCTGTCTTCTTCTTCTTCTGTCTTGTCGAAATCAATAGACAGGGGACGTCGATAGAGATAGAGAAAATATCTCTATAAATATCTACTAGAGTCCCAGCCTTGGCATCCTACCTCTCTCGCCTCCATCAAACAACCTTGCAATAAATAACATCTCTGGCAAGTAAACAAAATGGCGCGGATTTTCGCGCCGGTCGCCTGGGCCATTCGCACTCTTTCAAAACAAAAAAAAAACTTCCTCTGTGCAAACGTCAACCATTGTTCATTAGATTTAGGCATTTTCGGAAACATTCATCCTCGCTACTCGATTTCAGGCCTATCTACTTCAGGTATCATCTACTCTTAAATTTTGTAAAGAAACCTTAATGTATGTTGATTTTTAAAGGTAGGGCATCATCATTTAAAAGATAGGGCATTGCCCCCCCCCCCCTGGCTACGGCCCTGTTTCTCATGCTCTTGAAATAGAAAACATACCGATGTGGGTCGGTTATAATAGTTTGTTATACAACGATAAGTCCAACCCACAGAAAATTTCATATTTAACAACTATAAATGAGTTTCCAACTAGTGATAAGGTTGTTCTAGAAACCTTGAAGCAATGCCAAAAGGCTGCTGAAGAATGTGGCGAGAGATATATGCAAGTGACCTATGATTTAGGCATAGCAAATAAGGCGCTTAAGATTCAAAGTGACAAAAGACCTCTTTTCGATAATCTCTTCATACACATTGGTCCGTTTCATATAATGATGGCGTATTTCAAGGCGATTGGTAAATACATCGATAATTGTGGCTTAACAAATATTATGGTCGATACTGAACTGTTAGCTAGTGGCTCTGTGAATGGATTGATTACTGGCAAGCATTTTAAGATGTAAAAGGCTTCATCCGCTTGCTGCTTTAGCGATTCAAATAATGCATTATGAAAGCTTTGTGAAATTAACAAATCTCGAAATCCCTGAAGAAACGAGACAGTATCTTGAAGACTTAAAAATTGAACGGCATGACAATCCGGAGATTAACAATCAACATTTATTAGAAATATTAAAGACGTTTGAAGAATATGAGACAAGTACACTTGCTGGAGAGTATGGGAAAACTCCACAATTCTACTTGATATACTCAAATTTGGTTCATTACTATCTACTGTTAAATAGAAGCATTCGAATTGCAGACTTGGAGCTATTCAAATTTGTACTTCCGAAGATAACAAATCTTTTTTTCACTTTTAACCAACAGAATTATTCGAGATATTTGGTGAAATATTGTGACAATCTCCAAAAAGTGGACGAAACTCATCCCGGATTGAAAGAGCAGTTTGAAAAAGGATCCATTGGAATTAGAAGGACGAGCAAACCTTTCTCTCGACAACCTATTGATCTAGTGCTGGAACAAACAATCAATGCCGACGCTGCAAATAAATTAACAGGCATCATTCAATCAACAAATTCTATTTCAGCTCGGCAGAGGTGGTGTAAAAGCCATAGCATACGAGCGAGAATAATTACGCATGTAATGGAAATGACTGGATTGAGAAATCGACAGGATATTACAGCAGATTTGCGGAAGAGTTCTATTGACAAAAGTACCGACCAATTAAAAAAATTAATTGCAAATATAAGGCAAAACATGAATCCTTTTTCAAGCACTCTAGATGGAAACTACTTATATAACATTTCAAGTGGAAAGGCAGCGAAAGCAGATGCTGCGGAATTCCTTCTCAACGTTGAGAAAATAGGAAACGAACAGCGCGAAAAATTTATTAATGAGTGTGCCGAAGATGGTAAACGATTTGAGAGTGTTATAAAACGAAATAAAGTCTATAGTTTCACCGAATCACAAAAAAAGAAAATTAATGTTTCTGGAAAAGTTGTAGAGGTCCGTATGCAACGTGACTTATTTGGAAAACTGCTCGCAATTTATTTGCAACAATCTCTACAACTTGATAAAATTTTGGCTTATCCATTGATGCCAGTTCCATTATCGTTATGTCACATCGATGGAACAATGTGTAAGACAAATAAATCCGTTCTCTTGAAACTGCTGGAAAATAAAATAGACGTGGAGCCACCATCACATGTAGACGTTCAAATTTTTGATGGGTTTTTCATGTTCCATCTTATGAAGGAGATTCCAGTGACTTTTGGAAACATTTCCAAAAAAAATTTACAAATGTTCACGGTTAATACAGCGAGTACTGTCATAATTACATTTGACCAATATTTCTCTCCTTCCATTAAAGATAATGAGCATACTTTACGTGGAACGAGTAGGAATGAACGTTATCAAATCACCGGTGGTGAACAAACACGACCTGCTGATTTCTCCACAGTACTGAAGAACATCAACTTTAAAGAAGCCTTGGTGAAATTTATTTTAGAAGATTGGAGGAATCCTTCAATGGCACCATTCATTAAAAATAGGACAATATATGTTAATTATGAATCATGTTATAAGTACGAGGAAGTGAATGGTACTGTTTTGAGAACTGAGGAGGCAAATTTAGCATGTCCTGCAAATGAAGAATCGGACACAAAAGTAATCTTCCATGCTTGCAAAGTTGAACAAGATTCCAATGTTGTTATAAGATGTTCCGACACAGACATTCTGATCATTGCACTTGGTAACATGAAATTCCTCAATGAAAATGTAAAAATCTGGTTAAAAGTAGGTGTCGGGAATAATGAGAGGTACATAAATGTCAGCAAATTATATGAATTATTGGGTCCAGATTTAAGTCGTGCACTCCCAGCATTTCACGCATTCACAGGATGCGACTTCAATCCAGCGTATTTTAAGAAAGACAAGAAGCGGCCTTTCACAGTTCTCCAAAACTCTCCCCAGTTAATTAATGCATTTTCCAACATGCACAAGTATCCAGATATTGATAAAAATTACATTTTTGATACACTGGAGAAATTTATTTGTGAGCTGTACGGTTTTAAAACAATGAGCAGCGTGAATGAAGTACGATTAGCTACGTTCATGAAAGCCTATAAATTCAGCGACACCCAAGAACAGCTTAAACTACAGTCGACAAGTTTTGATGGATCCATATTCCCCCATGTAAAGTGGAGCTACAACAACAAATTCAGAGGGCCATTTATATTTCCAGTGTGTGGTGTAATGCACACTTGCAACATCCAACGTCGCTATCTCCTACAGATTGTGGATGGCAAGAAGTTGATAATAAGCTGGAGTTCTTATGGTTTGAGGGTGATCAGTTACCAACTTCGATCAGCGACATTATTATTGATAAAGTTTCTCAAACCAACGACGCAGGTAATAATAATATTTTCTGTAGTGAGTAATTAATTATAGATGCCACTTATATTGAAATTATTCATAATCATTTTACAGAATCTGATATGGTAACTGATGAACGCGATGACTATGATACCATGGAGCGTGAGCGTATTCAACGTGAAAGTGATTTCAACGATAGCGAGGATTCTGAAACCGAGGATTTATCCACTTTTGTTGGAACTGTCTACGGATATATTGACGAAGATACGTGTCTCTAAACTTTTAGATGTTACATACTTTTTGCGCTTTAATAAATAAAAAACAAATGCGTTTTTGTAATTATGTCGAGACCCTATTACTTCACTAGCTCCTGCCGAAGTCGGGTCTCATCAAATGACTGGCAGGATACGTTTTTTAGCTATCGTAATTATTAATGAAATGCTAAAAAAAAATCACCTCTTCTGATTTATATCAATTGATAATTTTTTTTTTACGTGAATAAAATTATGGCAGGAGTATATAGGTCTACCGAAAAAGGGGCAGGAGGTCGTTTTATGTCTTATTTAAATGTTATTAAGACAATTGATATAGTTTCAACTTTTATTATTTTGAACATTTGGACTCTTTTTTTCAACATGTTTGGCATACCGCTGTCAACTGTTGTCCCGCTAACAAGGTGGCAGGAGTTCATTTTTTTGATCAGTGATATTATTATTACAAAATAGAACATAAATCAAGCTTTATGAAATGGGACAATAAAAAGTGTCGCCAGCTCCTGTACTATGTGTACATATTGGGCTAATAAAGGCGATTTTAGCTATTATTATTTTAATTATTTATCAAATATTGGAAACAATACTTACATTTAATGAGTGTAAATGTGCCATTCCTTTGCATATGCCAACAGCAATATCCATTGATTGCATTTCAGTCATGCTGCTAAATTTTCCAGGCAACTGATCCCTACTGCCCAGCAGAAGATCTTTCAGATTCATTGAATTATATTCTAAGACTGCAACGACGAGATCTCTTGTTTCAGAAGTACCAATAAGATTGATAATATTTTCATGTTTTCCAGTTTTTATGAGAACGTCAAGCTCTTGTAACATACCTGAAAGATGTGAAATTAAAACTAAAAAAAGAGCAAATAGTAGATATCTAAAATGATAAAAAAAGGACTGGATATTTTAAAACTTTAACCACCAGCTTAAACATAGTTTGTACGCGATATAAACTGGTTCTTTTTAACTCTTTCGCTTTAGTTGTTAAAATCTTAGTTCCAGAAACTTAGACACTTTCATAAATTTTAAGTTTTGCTTTTGACTAAAACAAATTCAAAAACTGGTTCCTTGATTGCCAATAGAGCATCAACTACTTTTTTGCGGTGCATCTAAGAAATGGAACTAACTAGATAGGTAGGAACATAGACACAGATAGTTACAAGCCAACTGAATCCCTTAACTAAAAGGATGTATGCTGACGTAACCCTGAAACAATCATAGTAATAATTCACCATAAGGATCAGAAACCGAAGCAGAACCTTGGACTTCACCAAGAGTCCCTATTTGAAACGATTGTTCGAATTGATAATGTCAGCGACCCTGGAAAATGAGTTGAAAACAGATGCAGTAGGTGGCGGTCTTAAAAAGATTAGGTATTTGAGGGATGGACTAATTGATTCAAAGCTGCAGTGATCTACAAAAACAAAAACAATAGTTACAGAGCGATGACGACTTTATTAATAAACTCATGAGATCAAACCAAGAAGAAGAATCAGAAATTTAGGAAAAAGCGAGGGATAAAGTGAGTCATAAAATTAAAGTAAATAATGAATATAGGTCTCAACTTGAAGAAAACTAGATTCTCCAAATGGTTCTCAACTCGGTTCTTAAGGATAGGAACGATACATTTTAATATGGGGTAGGTTTACTTACAGGATCCTTGATAGTTTCAAATGCTTTGACCTTGAACACATAGCAAAGTAGTGCAAAGAAAAGCTATGTTGTCATAAAAATGTGGGATCGGACACGCTGGTAAGGATTGTCAGACTAAAAAATGAAAATGTCCAAGCTGCATTAAAGCGAAATACAAGCCAGAAGAAAACATATATGTGGCAAGGGATCCTAAGTGTTGAACACATCAAAAATGACTTAGTAGAGTTAAGACCGTGAAATAATCCTTCTAGAAAAGATTTTCGTCCGCACTTTATTGCTAAAATGTAAAACCTATTTTATATCGTTCCTCACACCTTAAGAAAGCAAAATCGATTGGTCGTCAAAAAATCGTGGGGTGCAGGGGGGTAGTTTGGGGTAGTTTTCCAAAAACTTGCAAAATTTTTTTTTTCATTTTTCGAATCTACACTACGTGTTCAATGATCTGCAAAAGTTTTATTTCAAAACTCCAAGTAGAAGTATTTTATTTCGAATTTTGAAATGTTTGTACAACACGCATTTTTATGGAATTCCTTAATATAAAACAGCTCGCACTTAAACATCAAAATTGCAACATCATTCACACATAGATAACTCAAAAATTCTTATTCTAATCAAAAAAACACTTTCTATAAACGCTGTAGATCAAAGATCTGGGATTAAAATGCTTTTTTATAATCATAAATCCGATAAGTCGTTTTGTCAAAAATCTGTAAAATGTAAAAGTATGTCGTGGCGACCATGCCCGGACGCGGAGATGCGAGGATGGTTGAAATTCCCTTGGCACGCGATTGATTCTGTGTGGTGCACGGTCCGTATGTATTTTCAGGCCTAGACGGTCGCTTCTCGTCTGAAACAGCGGAAAGTACACTATTTCTGTGAAAAAGCGTCGTAATTTTCCAAGATACAGATATAGATACATTATAAGAATATAGTGGCTTTTAGTTTATGTATTTGAGTATAATATTTAAATAAATCAATAACAGTTAGACATAATATTATATGAGAAAATATGATCATTTCAAAAAACTGTTCCATAATTTATTGACCAGTTAGGTAAAGCATTTATGCTAAAATTTGCGTTAAAATCCAAAGGTAGGACAAACTTTATTTTATATCATACCAGTACATTATTGTCTTTTTATACCTTAGATACCATCTACATAATTCATCACTTTATGCCCGTGCGGGCATAAAGTACACATTCTGGCCCGCGCGGGCATAATGTACCATCGTCACCAAAAGTATCTGGGACAAAAATAATTCATAATAATCTCCTGGACTAATTCAACCGTCATTCATTTCAATACATTTAATACATAGTTTGACAAATATTTGACACTAAAATTCATATAATAGTACAAGAGCTGATATGATGCTGTCCCAGTTACTTTTGGTGACGATGGTACCATTCTATACATCAGGTTGATAATTACGCCGCAAATGACGTCGTTTGCGTGTACGCAAAGTTGCATCGATTTCAAATAAAGTCCTCCTGGTATGACATGAAAGTTTGTATGCACCACGGGTACTAATAGATATATACCCTCGGGCGACTTACGAACCTTCGGCCAGAGGCCCTCGGCTTTGTAAGGCTGTCGCCCTCAGGGCATAATCATCTACTTAGTACCCTTGATACATAAATAACTATAATGAGCTTCTGATAATCGGTAGATAATAATTGTATAATCAGACATATTATTGA